TCACAAACACCCTGTATAAACACACTTGTATGATCCAGATACAGAGCTACAGACAAAACCTGTGGTCCGATTTAGATTAAATTTTGTATCTGGATTCATCCACGAGTCACTAATGTTTTAAGCACGGGTTGAGAAATAATGGCAAAAATGTATAAAAACAGTTCACCAGTTTAGAATATTTCTCAGTTACTGTGAGTTGCAAAAAAGTGTATACAGAAGCATTTGTGTGGCACAGAAAATGTAGAGGACTAGATGTATACAGAAGATATATTAAAATACAATACGCATACAACTATCAACGTTTACATATGTAAAATTAATGAATTTGTTGTGGTATTGAGTATTTTTAACATTATGACGAAGCCTTAACGTAGAATTTCATCAAAATCGGATCATTTTTGCTCGAGTTATCGTGCTGACGGACACATATATATATATATACTAGCTGACCCGGCGAACTTCGTATCGCCTAAGTTATAGGTTTCCCCTAAGACAGACCGATGGAAAGAAAGTACCGTTACGTTTAATTTTCAAGATGATCTCGTTCGCAGCCTTAACGACGAAGCCTGTTATAACGTAAGTTATATTTACCTGAAAATATGCAGAATTGTAAGGCCCTAATGTTGTTCAGATGGGTTTTTGTTTCCCTTGAATGTGAATAATGCGAATCCTTCAATGCAAGTTTTGTTAAGGTTTCTTGGATGTAGTCATGTTATTTTAATATCACTTGACTTTTATGAAAACATATATAATGTCCTTGCCGTACCGGTTTAATTCGGCATTAGAGGGGTTTCCTTTGCAAATCATCCTAAAGTTAAGTCCGTTTTTCCTACAAAATAGTAGCACTTTCGATAATATCCTTGTTCATTGTTTGTGGGAATCTTCATATTGTAGGTGTTCTTCTTTTATATAGGATGATAACGATAATATTTTTAAAAAATCTCGATTTCTGCTACTTGGTGGCGTTCTATGACTTTCCTATGTTTCCTTGGAAAGCAATTACGACCTTTAAGGGCAGTTTATGAAATAATGGATAGTTTTGCGCTAGTTTTCTCGTCATGACGAACATTTTAAGTATATGGTTTATGGGGGTATGACTTGTAGTTTTCACAAAAGTTCATGTGTACTTTGGGCTTTATATTGATCAACTAGTGGCTTGTAGGGACATAAGTCCCTAAAAAGCTCAAATGTAAAACAAACTATTGTAATATTTAAACAAACTAAGAATAAAATGATCTATGTGTCAGAATCGATACAGTGCTACAATAATACATGTACTCATATTAGTACCCTGGCCCAGTTATTATTTCTAATATTATAGCTCTACTCCTTTTGTAAAGACACAACTGAATTAGTGTAAAGGCTGCCCTAGTTTCGTTTCTGATCAACATAAAATATAAACTACTCTCTGTGTCAGCTTATGTGGTGGGATTCCTCCTAAAGCTGTGGTTGACTTTATACTCTCTTTAAAATTGGCCAATTTAAACGTTCAGTGGGTTCATAGTTTGTTAAGACCATAGTAAAGTATTTATTTGCTAATCCGTTATAATTTTTAAGTTAATAACATAGCGCTGTCTGCTGTTATGACGCAATGTACAGATAGCCGACAGCTAAGCCATATCAGCTATAGTCATGTTAACAGTATATTATTTTTCATTCAATGGATGTAAATTTTGTTTGAAAACATTTTACCGTTTATATTATTTATTTAGCCTACAGTTAAAAAAGCTAATCATCGACTGATTACTAACTCTTTTGCCATTGGTTAGGGTTCCATTATCATGTTAATGAAACCAATCAAGAAAACAAATTCATCAGCAATTAATATAGGTACATATTTTTGGTTAGTGAAACATGAAGAATCGAAAACTACCTCCAGGGTTTACTGTTATAGATTCTCTCTTCACTATCTATATAGATTGTATATATATATACAATGCATGTTGGGCTATATTATTTTAACCTTTTTTCCTTGGAGCAACAGACAGTAGATACCTGGTTAAAATCTACTCCAAACAATTTTATTTTTCCGCCCATTGGAATTTGTTATAGTAATTAATGAAAGGAATATATGTATTGCCTGTACAAACCTATTTCAAATTTTATTCCCAGGTTATTCTCTAGAGTAACTGTTAAGGTTATTCCACTCGATACAAAGTATAGATTAACACTACAATTACGTGTCAAATTAAATGTTATGAAATTTAAAACAAAAGTTTTGAATAAATTTTCAATATATGTTTTGAAATAAAAACAAAACAGAAGTTTTCTAACTAATCTTGCATCGTTGATTATTTAGTCAATGGGGCTATTTCATGTTAAACATTCCTTTAGCACAACAATAACCTACTAATGTGAAGAAATGTAATCAAAGTAAAATAATTTTGTAAACTTCGTGAACATATGTTTAAAAAAAAACAAAGCTTAAATATTTCAGCCATTCTACTTCCATTTACTTTGATTTTAACCATCTCCCACGATTCTACTAAATTTCATGCGCTTGGCTAATTTACATACAAATACACAAATTTGCAAATTGCACAGTAAAATTAATTTCAACATTCTAAGACATAACGACAAAAGTCTCAATTGTATGTAACGTCATCCCTGGTTTTATATAGTATACAGTACATTGCAGAATTTACTGGCAAACTAGTTAAATCCAAATGTAATATTGCTTACTGGCTTAATGATAAATCACGATCAGCTGTATTGAGGTAAACAAAAATCAACAGACAAATGGCTTCTAATGCTATTCTTATGGAGAACATTTTACGTTATATCACTGACTAAGTCAAAGGTTATGTCTAATTTTGTGTTAAAATTTGGGGAATTTCACTATTTTTCCGGGATCGAGACCTTTAATTTGAACCCTCTCCCGTCGTTCTACGACTACCCAGTCGCTCACAATTTTGACGCAAAGAATCGGCTTTCGTAATTAATATATAGATAGATATTTAATTTCCACAAAATCAGTTAATGTAACCAATGCGTTTCGTTGAATTGAAAAACAAAGAACACAATTAAATTAAACAGCTGATGTAAACAATATTATGTTCATCGTAAGGATAACATGGGAACTTAATAAAAAGCCACTGTGGCAGAGGCCAAGGGACTTTTTCAAAAATTTTAGGCCAGTTTGCAAATCTACGCAACACGCTCTTTCCAATGAGACGTCAGTGGATAAAATCGGTTTAGAAATGGTGGAGAATTCAACCGACAAACTTCGTGTTCGCGTATTAATTATATAGATTTCATATGTGCATGAAATGTTGGTGTGAAACCAACTTGTATAACTTTAAGCTAAATGGTTTAAGTTACCTGGCTTAGTCAAGTGATCCTTCTCCAGTATTACACTACTATAGTTTCGGACTTGGAAATAAGTCCATCTTCAGAAAACGTCAATAGGTCATCTAACCAAATTGGTTAGATGACCTATTGACGTTTTTGTTAACCTGAAGATGGACTTCCAGAGGCTACCTCACCATGTTTACCTTTGAAGTAGAGGCTATATTTATTCCCAAAAGGTATCAAACGCCAGCTCCTAAACAAATCTTTTCTATCCCTTTAAAGTTTGTTTCGTGTTTTTAGTCTTCACGTACAGAGACTTAAATCTTTGTATTAAATTGTTAGCAATCATAAATCGTGGACAGAATCTTCCACAAAAGATAAATACAATATAGTTTAACACCCTAGAACTCCTTAAAAAAATATATTTTGTTAAGGCTTCGTCATAATGTTAAAAATACTCAATACCACAACAAATTCATTAATTTAACATATGTAAACGTTGATAGTTGTATGCGTATTGTATTTTAATATATCTTCTGTATACATCTAGTCCTCTACATTTTCTGTGCCACACAAATGCTTCTGTATACACTTTTTTGCAACTCACAGTAACTGAGAAATATTCTAAACTGGTGAACTGTTTTTATAAATTTTTGCCATTATTTCTCAACCCGTGCTTAAAAAATTAGTGACTCGTGGATGAATCCAGATACAAAATTTAATCTAAATCGGACCACAGGTTTTGTCTGTAGCTCTGTATCTGGATCATACAAGTGTGTTTATATAACATGATCAAATCACATAGTCAAAATATGTTTTATTCTATAACTTTTAATTTAATTAAACATAAAAGTCATGCTCCCTCCATTTTTAAAGTATTCAGTCCAAAAATGTAATAAATTTACTTGTGCATACATATTTATTTCGTTTTAATAAATAATTGAGGTGATGCAATACACTTATGTAGGCAGTCGCAGCAGTCGAAGCCGGGCATAGCGCCTAGAGTTTCACGAACGCAAACCGCGCAACGAGTAGCTAAATGAGCCGTAGAGTAAGTGAGCCATCTAATATTTTGAAGAGGGTTCACTTACTCTACGGATCATTTCGCCAATGATCTGTAGTGTAAGTGAGCCATCTAATATTTTTCTGCAGGCTCGTATAGTATACGAGCCTATTCCTATAATTTATATTATTCATTATTTTGGCTCGTATACTATACGAGCCGATTTCTGAATTATCAAATAATTCGTAAGCTTGGCTCATAGTCACTATGATCTGTAGAGTAAGCGAACCTTCCTACTGTATTTTTAAATATAATACACGAGGCTCATAGGCACAATGATTTGTAGAGTAAGTGAACCCTCTTCATTTACTTTTTATTTTCGATAGGCTCGTATAGTATACGAGCCTGTAGTGCAAGTGAACCTTCAATATTATTTAAAAAGCTCGTATAGTCTATGATCTGTAGAGTAAGTGAGCTGTCCCCCATAAATTTATTAAAATATTGAAAATAAAACATACAGAATTAAAAACCAAAACAATATGAACTAATAATTATCCGACTTCAGAATAAAGTGTACTTAAGTGTTGCATGCTATCATAGCTGCTATATTAGTCTGCCGATGAGAGAAGAAAAAGAAAGAAAAACTGGTGTTACGAATTCAAAATAACCCTATCCCGCTCCGCTATCCGTCAATCGTCATCCTCCTCATCCAATCCAAACAAAACAAAACAATAATAAACCAACAACAAACCGGACCGGAGATAGGTTAGGTTTTAAAAACTAATTGTCTTAGTTTATATCCAGGATTTAAAACATCAATCTCTTTGAGAAATGGCTGAAGATGGTGATCAGGTTAGTTTCAGTGAATTAGTTTTAGATGAACTGTTAAATTTAGAAAATCGGGTCATAAATTACAATCAAGGTTAAGAAATTACCATAAGTTAGCCCTTGTTTGTACTGCATTGCTGACTCACCGTACATATTGCCTATTGCAGACTTGTTTGGGATGAGGGATGCAGGCAATTGTAGCCCTGTAGTCACTCTTTATTTTTTTAGGCCTTGGATTTTATTAATTTCCATGGTTACCTACCCTACTCGCAGCAAAATTAAGACGTTTTTGGTTTCCTTTGTAGGTCTACATTGTGACTGCTTGGTTCATATTTCAACAAGGAAAAAGTGGCAAGTGACCTGGAAGGGCACTGTTACCCAGGGTTTCCACCCGTCCTGATTCCGTCCGAGGGACAGTCCCGACTTTGGTCCCTTGCCTACTTTTTGAGAAATAAAGGGTAGTCCCTCAGGTGAGCTATCTGGGGCTGATTTCGATAACCATTTACCTACATGGCTGATATGTCCAGGTGTGCAAGTCACTGCAATGTGCGTTCATATTATAATGTCTGCCAACTGTATTGGGATTGTAGCTGCTGGTCAAATATTCACAGCAGTGAACTCTGATTGGTGAGAGCAGGCAAGTGACATCGGTGGTCATGAAGACATGGTTTAAAATTGAACTTAGAAAAATGCATGAATCTCCATAACCTCTCCTCACTGCCTACTAAGTTTACCTACCTACAAAGAATTGCTTGAAGGAAAACATTCAACACATTCGCTACTGATCGCCACATATATGCAACGCTGCGGTCATTGCCATGGACTAAGGTAGGCTATGCATTTTAATATTAACTTACACATAGACTGGGTGTCACTTGGTCCCCAACACCACTATCCACACTGGGTGCCACTTGGGCACACGCAGACCTTGGGGATGCAGCAATGTAAAAAAAACAGTTTTGCCAACTATCATATGACGTCACTAATCATCGTATCCTCAGACTAAGTGACACACATGTGCGACAGACATCCCTCTAGACCACTGCAGAGAATTCAGGGCCTTCAAATAGACCGTTACGAAGATATAAGCTGTTTAACAACATTGGAACACGGACGCATATATGCGACTTCAGTTTATTTTCATGTGACCAGCCGTCCCATATATATGTCAGCAGTCAATGGGTAGAGACTGGCCGTATGAATGAAAAATTTAGTACTATTGCAGTAGCGAATGTGTTAATGTAAAGTGATACTGTTAAGACTTAAGGTGTGGTTGCCTATTAGACAGCAGCCTCACACTCTCACTAGGGTGAAGTAGGGCAATTATGTTACACTCAAAAATGAAGGGCAATTGTGATACATTCCTTTAAAACCATCTAAATGTAGGCCTATAGCAAGGTTGTTTAAAAAAATATATTTAAGTAACATTTTTAATGTGCTTCTGGTCCCATAATGCACTATGAGCATTTATAGTTGGTTAAGAAAGTAAAAAAAATATTGAATAGGTACTTTAAAAAGATGTAAGAAATCCCTAGGCCTAAAAACCTTTCTGCGTCTAAGAAAAACTTTTTTATAAATATAAGAATTATGTATCTATTGACTTTGTCTATAGGTATATATAAATGTAAAGAATTAAATTTTCTTTCTTTTTAAGACCAAAATTATTAATATACATTCATATTCACCACAGTTATAAAGCTCTAAACTCGGAGGGCAATTATGATACACTCTGGAGGGCTATAAGAATACACTGTAAAGGGTATTTTCGTAAAAAAATGCATTTTGACACGCGTTTACATGATTTGGTGTAACTCCCACATTTATGGTCCAATTTCAATAAAATTTGCACAGTTGTTGTTGTTACATTACCACATGTGAGTATCAAAACTGCCCTCCTTGGTTTAATCTAGTGAGCTATGCCTGAATAGCATGGCTGTATCACATTTGCCTTCCAGGTGTATCATATTTGCCCTAATTGAAGGGCAAAGTGATACACCTGTTTTAATTTTTTTTTTCTTGAACAGGTTATTACTTTACTAGTTGACCTTAATATAGTGTTAAATCCCTTATAAAACTATACAAGAACATATTTTTAGATGTTTTATAAGTTTGTCCTGAAAGGAGCTATACACTAAAGTTTGGGTTTTTGTATCATTTTTGCCCTACTTCACCCTACATATGTTTCCTTAGGGGCTTTGGGAAGACTGAGTGATCTAGGTACTGATACATAACATCCTGCCAGAGAAAGCCAAGCTGCAGCTGGTACAGTCACTAGTGTTGTCAGACTTTATTAATGCTTTTCTGAATACGGCAGTAGCATTTGAAGGAAGAACTGTCCTGTTTGCAGCACTTGACTGTCCATTTCATTTACGCTATCCATAAGCGAGAACAGGTATCCCCTTTTGGAAATGCTGCAAGATTGTTGTCACTTACAGCCTCATCCACTGGGTCTTGGTTCAGTACAAGAACCTCACTACTTGGTGAAAATGCTTGTAGTGTGTGCAGAGGTGATTCAGCATAAGACCCAGCTCAACACCTGCTCCAAATGTGTGGCTGGAAGTGCGTAGGATAGGTTCTTTTACTTTGAGGCCAAACTTTGAAAACATTTCCTGTTGGACCTTAAACAGCTAGCGGCTGTTCATGGCTTAAAAGAAAATTTAAACAATAAAAAAAACTTGATTGGCCTAATTAATTTAATTAGTTTGTATGTCTTTTTTTGTAAATATTGCACACCATTGTTTTATTTTTTTATTAGCATCCATTCTAGTCTTTAATTCTTATTCTTAATTCTTATTAATGCAATTCTTCAATTTAATTCAATTCTTTATTTAACCCTCGGCCATGCTCACACAATCTCTCCTCACATCACCCCACATTACCCCTCCCTTCTCTCTCATTCCTCCCTTTACTCTACCAACCCTTTCTTCTACCAAAATACCCAGTCTAGTACACCTGTCGGGGAGAAAAGGCTTTTGGCAGGTGGTCTTCTCCTATGGCCTTGGCTCTTTTATGATCCCTGAATTTACGAGTTCGATAAGCCCAGTGGCCTGCTCTTGCACTCATAATAACTCTGTCCACAGGTTACACAAATTAGTGTGAAGGAACCTCTTGATCTCATTCGTCTCAGTTTGGATGAGAGGATTTATGTAAAGATGAGAAATGACCGAGAGCTCAGAGGTAGACTTCATGTAAGTATATGTGACACGTTACATGTTGTATTGTTCCAAAGGTCTAGTGCTAATTTTTCATGTTTGTATTTGTCCCGTTAGAGTAAAGTCACTTTGTACATGGTGTTGGCAAACAGTTGTCAAAAAGAGGCCTAGCAATGATAGTTCTGAAGGCCGTATATCGTATTGTTGAGGTCCCTCTCTACTAATTCTTCAGTGGCTGAAGGATAGGGTGTTTGAAAATATATAAGCGGTATTGCGTCAACTCGATGAGCTCAGCCCTTTGTTTCCTAAGTTACTATCCGATTGGCAAATAGGAGACTAGGATATCGATCATTCCATTTTATTTTTAATAATAATATTACAGGCCAGACTTATTTTACTTCACGTTGGATTTAAATTGTTGATTTTCGGTCCGAATTTAGGTCAGATTAAAATTGGGTTGTTTTGAAAAATACACTAGGCCCTAATGGTTGTTAAAAATGTAAATGGTTATACTGTAATCAGTGTAGTAACAACGTCCTAAACTGTTTATGACTTAATCTAATCCTCATCCTTGTATGTTGATGCTGAACATACACGTAACTATTTCACATACAGTATTAACAATGTATACTAATTCATAATACTACTACAATTGTCGTAAAATCGTCTCTTAATTAATGAACACTTAATCATGAACACAAAACTAAATTAAAAGTGATTTAAATCATCCTCGGTCAAGACAGAATTGCTATCTTCAGTATTCTGAGCGTCTCCTATGTTTATATAGCAAAATAGTGGACATCTTTTGCTATTGCATTGACACATTCTACGTCTCCTGCGATCACAACTTCGTGAACTTTTCATTGTGTGCGGAAACGGGGGATATCACCTTCGTCTCCATCAGTTTCGACGAAATTGTGGATATCTACAGCGATTGTGGAGAGATTGTAAACATATTTCGCAGCCGGGCAGATTTTATCGTAGTGTGATCGGCAAAACTGTGATTTTAGATGCTTTGGTGATTGTAAGAATGAAAGCTCCGATCGAAAATCGTACCCCCAAACGGATTATTGGTGAAATTAATTTTTATAAGAGTAAACTTAAGGCCCCCAATGATGCCTCTTTCAGGCAGAGGCCTCTGGCAACCACCGTGTCCACCAACATGAAAATAATAGTTCTAACCCAAGATTTAAATACATGTCAGGTATGTATACCTGACCGGTGGTAGGTAAACCACCGATGACCCTGGGCATTTGCCCAGTCTGCCCGTTTATAAAATTGGGCCTGGGCTCTGTGGTTTATAGGTAACAACGGGGAGTTTGTATTCACCAGAGGTTCATTTTCCATAGTTCAGTAGACATAACAGGAGTGTTCATTGTGCTGCAATGATTTGTATTTTGATCTCTTACACTTATTGCTCTCACCCTATTGCTGTGCAGCTTGTATTTTTGTTCATGATTCTCAGTTCATGTGGACATGTTATTGGATGGCAATCAATTATAAATTGGAGAATGCACTTGAATTGTATAGCCTAATTTACACAATATTGATTGGGGAATGACGTGGACATATTTGTCATAGGTATTATCTCATGGTTTTATTGTGCCATTGTAATGATGGAGCCAACGTTACGTTTACTGTAAATATCTCATCTGCATTTACTTATCCCCTACATCCCTCACATCTACCTGCTGTATCAAATCTTCTCTTGCCACCACTATCAAAAGTGTTAAGATAACAGTATTTTTTTAATGTAGGTCGACCTGGTGGGCTAGTGTTTGTTTCCCTTTAAAAATGGTAAAAAAATGTTCATAACAATTTCTACTTTGTTTTATATGGGACTTGGAAACCATTTATACACCTTCTACACATGAAATGAAATGAAATGAAATGAAAATGTGCTTTATTGTACAATTTAGAACATAAATACATTTTTTCACAGACACATAAAAACAATGGTTAATAACCGTCTGTTTTGTTGGCACTAGAGTTGTTCCATTACTTAAGATTAGAATAGTAGGCCTATTGAGCACTAAAAAGATTTATTAATATTTCTGAAATAAAGACATAAGAGAAAAGATATAAGAGAGAACGAAATATTATTACATAAGTGATAAAAAACAAAAACATACTGATCCTAACTTATCTGTAGACGAGTTTCATATACAATTATTTAGATTCAAAAGTTAAATTCTGTCACTATCTCCCATCTATACTTCCAAGCATTTTCTAGATAACTAGCTAAAGCTCGCCAATTCCTCCCATTTATAAATTGATGATATTCTATTTCGTTTAAAAAAAGTTTTCCCAGCCACAAATGTCTTATGTGTTTTAAAATCGGACAAAGTGCAATAAAATGATAGACTGTTTCATTTTCATTTAGGTTACATAAAGAACATCTATAATTTTGATTGAGCCAAGGCTTGTAGTTCAGGTTGATAAGCTCTAATCTTGCTTTAAGAATCCACGAAATGGTACGAGTATTGTTGAGTTTGAGGGGACTCTTATCTCCAAGTTCAAGGTCGAGCGTGAGTAACTGGCTGTGATGGACGGAGGTGCGCGCTCGACCAACACACTCCCCCCTCCACCTACAACGTAGCCCCTCCGCTACCGACCTCAACTGTTCGCTAAGCTCCGCTAAATCATCATTTTGAAAATTAATATTTATATTAAATTGTTGTCCCAGAAGCTTCCATTCTTTACTCCAAAATACATTCCTTGAAATAATTTGTTTAGCTAAAATTTTGGGCAATCTCCCTGCTGGTAACGTTAAACATTTCAATAAATAATTTAGATTTACATTTAAAGTATAAAAGTATAACTTTTCACAACATGTTTCCAAATATAATGCATAATTTGGTGTGTTAAAAGGTAAAGAGAATAATTTTTTGAGAAATATTTTTTGAACAGATTCTATTTGATCGCTTTCTATACATCCCCACACCTGAGCTCCGTAGCAGATTGTAGCTCGCACTACCGCTTCGAAACAACACATTTTAGAACATAGCGGTACTTTTGGGTTTTTAAATAAAGCACTCCAGACTGAATTAACAGCAAATTGACCTATTCTGGCTTTTTCTTTGAAATGATTACTCCATGAAAGGGAACTTGTGAACGTGATTCCTAAATATTTGTACTCATTTACCACCTCAATAATTTTACCCATATACCACCATTTGTCGCTCGTCTTCAATTTCCCACCATTTCTAAAAACAATAATCTTTGATTTATTTAAATTTACAGTTAAATTCCATGTCCCACAGTAGGTTTCTAAATTTTTTATCATGTGCTGCAGCCCGGTACTAGTTGGAGACAGAAGAATAATCTCATCAGCGTAAAGCAACATATTTATTTTCGATCCACCAAAATGGCATCCACCTCCTACCGCCTCCGGCAGGTCATTGATAAATAAACTGAATAAAGTCGGTGAGAGATTGCAGCCTTGCCTCAGACCTGTGTTAGTTTCGAAACTGTCAGTTACACCTCCTTCACACCACACACTCGAACTGGTGTTGTTGTAGTAGTTTTTTAATACATTCAGCATGCGCGTCGATAATCCCAAACTTGACAGTTTAAAAAACATTGATTTTCGATCGATTGTATCAAAAGCCGCACTAAAGTCAACAAAAAACGCATAAAGTTTCCCCCCTTTTTGTGATAGACGTAACTTAACCATACAAGCAAGATTAAAAATGTTATCAATGGTGGAGTAACCTTTCCTAAAACCCGCTTGGAATTCCGTTAATATTTCATTTTCTTGAACCCACGTTTGTATTCTATTGTTTATGAGACTTGTGAAAATTTTGGCCACGCTATCAATAAAAGATAATCCACGGTAGTTTTCAACTAAATCGAGGTCTCCTTTTTTGTGTAGAGGGAAAATAATTGAGGTTTTGAAAGATTTTGGAACAATTTCACTTTTTAAAATTTTGTTGTAGATTATTAATAAAATAAACAAAAAATTTTCGGGTGCATTTTTGAAAAATTCATAAGGAATTTTATCTGACCCCGGGGCCTTATCACACTTTAATGTTTTCAAAATATTTTTCAGTTCAGCAAGAGTGAAGTCACTATCTAATCGGCAGTTATCTATAAGCGGTTCCGCATAGCTGATCGCACCTGCTCTGATTGGGGGATTCAATAAATTCCTAAAATGTGTTATCCATCTTTCAGGCGATATTTCTCCCACAACATTACTACCTTTCTTTTTTAATGTGTTTATGGAGGGTCGCCGGAATGGTCGCCCCCGGAAACATCACCCCCCAGGCTAAACGTGACGTCACGAAACCAGACAACCAGCTGGTATAAATTCTATGTCCGCGACCGGAATCGTACCCCCCAAGGGCTTGACAAGAAATTTATCAAAGTCTAGTTGATATGAACTAATTATGTTATTAATTTTAATTCAAACAAGTAGAAACGGAAAGGTCTTCCCCGGCAAGACATCCCCTATGTACACCCCGGAATCGTCCCCCCCTGAAACGCTACCCCTAGTAGGGCTGGGCTGCTCGGCAGCCTACCTGCTGCCCGTCTTCCCCAGCCCATTGTTCCCAGGGTTGGCCGCTCATTCATTATTATTGTCGCTTGGACAACCACTTTTCCACAGAAAAAATAACAGAAGCTGTGGTGGAATATCAATCAGTAGATTTAGATGTGTATAAACTTCTAAGACACCTAAATAATAAGAGCATAGTTTGACTTTAAAAAATGATTATTTTATACTAAAAAAAACTACCAGCGATAATGCGTATACATTTTCTGTTGCATTAAATAGTAGTTATACTTATCAACATCAGTAAACTCACCTTACACCCAATGGTAATTGTTAAGCAACATATTTGTTTAAAATATAATAATTTCTAAATGTATTAAAAATAAATCGCATTGCTTTAGGTTTGGTCACGATTTAATTAATAATTCAAAAATTAGAAACAGATTATTATATAAGAGTAAACATATTAATATCTTTTAGAAGAGGATTAATCCCTTAAATTTAACGAAATAATTAATTGTTGTAAATTATACTATTCTAAAGG